CCATCTCCCCGCTCTAGTAGTCCACAGTGTCTATTATTCCCATATTTATGATTATGTGTGCTTAATGCTTAGCTCCCACTTATAAGTGAGAACAGATCTATTTGGTTTTCTGTTTTTGCATTAATTTGCTTAGGATTATGGCTTCCAGCTCCACCCACGTTGCTGCAAAGGACATAATTTTATTCTTTTTTATGGCTGTGTAGGATTCCATGATATATATGTACCACATTTTCTTTATCTAATCTACCATTGATGGGCACCTGGGTTGATTCCATGTCTTTGCAGTGATGAACATGTGTCTTTTTGTTAGGATGATTTATTTTCTTTAGGGTATGCAGCCAGTAATGGGACTGCTGGGACAAATGGTCAAACGGTCAAACGGTAACTCTGTTTTAAGCTCTTTGGGAAATCTCCAGTCTGCTCTCCACAGTGACTGGACTAATTTACACTCCTGTCAACAGTGCATAAGCATTCTCTTTTCTCCACAGCCTCACCAGTATGTTGTGTTTTGGTTTTTTAATAATAGCCATTCTGACTGGTGTGAGCTGATATCTAGCTGTGGTTTTGATTTGCATTTCTTTAATGACTAATGATGCTGAACATTTCTTCATATGTTTGTTGGCCACTTGTATGTCTTCTTTTGAGACATATCCTTTGCACATTTTTAATGGGGTTATTTGTGTTTTACTTGTTGATTTGTTAGATTAGGCCTTTGTCAGACACTTGGTTTGTGAATATCTTCTCCCATTCTATAGGTTGTCTGATTTGAAATGATTTTTAAGATAAGAGATCTACTTTCTAGGCAGTGTAATGCTGAGGGCATATTGCTTCCTATTTTTTTGTGTTTACAGTCCTTGGCCTGCATTCTTGCACATTGTAGACTACAATTCCTAAAAAACCTTGCATTCAGCATGAATACATTTATTTTCTAAAAGAATGAAAAATTAGAATAACGATTTTGAATAACCATTATTAGAAATCAGGTATAAAACATATGTGATTGTTAAATTTGAATTAGAAATTGAAGATCTGTCTTCTATATTCAGGATTATTCTCAAGGGGTGCCTTGCTGATCCAAGTGTGACAGGCTGAATAGGTCACCAGGTCCTCAATTCACAAGTTGAAGTCCTAATCCCCAGTACCTCAGAATGTGACTGTACTTGGAGACAGAGTCTTTAAAAAGGTAATGAGGCTAAAATGAGGTCATTAGGGTGAGACCTAATCTAATATGACTGGCGTCATAAGAAGAGGTTAGGACACAGAGGAAAGTCCATGTGAAGACATGGGAAGAAGACAGCCATCTGCAAGCCAAGGAGAGAGACCTCAGAAAAAAACAATCCTGCCAGCATCTTGATCTAGGACTTCTAGCCTCCATAACTGTAAAAAACATATTTTTGCTGTTTAGGCCATCTAGTCTATGGTAGTTTGTTATGATAACCCTAGCAAACTAATATACCAAGTATTTTCAGGTTTTGTTTTGTTTTGTTTTTTGAGATGGAGTCTCACTCTGTCACCTAGGCTGGAGTGCAGTGGCATGATCTCAGCTCACTGCAACCCCCACCTCCTAGGTTCAAGCGATTTCTCCTGCCTCAGCCTCCCAAGTAGCTGGGATTACAGGTGCCCTCCACCATGCCTGGCTAATTTTTAGTGGAGACAGGGTTTCACTATGTTGGCCGGGCTGTTCTCAAACTCCTGATCTCAAGTGATCCACTCACCTTGGCCTCCCAAAATGCTGGTATTACAGGTGTGAGCCACCACACCCAGCCCCAAGTATGTTTTTAAACTGCATAGAATGGGCTTATTTTCATGTCATTTGTGCAAAAAGAATTGCAAAATTAGTATTCAAAAGAAAGATTTGTAATGTATTGTTGGATGGCTATAAAGCCTTAGGTCAAAGTGTGGCTTAAAACAGTACACCCCAAAGAGGCTCATCCATAATGTCAGAGAAAACACCTGAACTGACTTAGGCTTTGTTTCAGTGTCTGCCCAAATTCTACCCCCCACTGGTGGATGTTCAAAATCCATCCTACAGGGTAGCAGAGAATAGAGTGCTAATGACTAGAATGAGATAGACTTGGATTTGAATGCCAGCTCCATGCCTTTACTGGCTACATGATCTTGGGCAAGTTAATGTAATTGTATAAGCCTCCACTCCCTTACCTATAAAATCAGAGTTGGTCAAAGTGTCAGAGGCATTTGAACCAGAGCAACTCCATCTTGAATAGGAACTGGGTAAAATAAGGCTGAAACCTACTGGCCTGCATTCCCAGATGGTTAGGCATGCTAAGTCACAGGTTGAGATAGGAGGTCGGCACAAGATACGGGTCTTTCCCTTGCTGATAAAACAGCTTGCAGTAGAGAAGCTGGCTTAAACCCACCAAAACCAAGATGGCCATGAGAGTGACCTCTGGTCGTCCTCACTGCTACACTCCCAACAGCACCATGACAGTTTACAAATGCCATGGCAACATCAGGAAGTTATCCTATGTGGTCTAAAAAGGGAAAGCATGAATAATCCACTGCTTGTTTAGCATATAATCAAGAAATAACCATTAAAATGAGCAACTAGCAGTCCTCAGGGCTGCTCTGCCTATGGAGTAGCCATTCTTTTATTCCTTTACTTTCTTAATAAACTTGCTTTCACTTTACACTAGTGACTCGCCCTGAATTATTTCTTGTGTGAGATCCAAGAACCCTGTCTTGGAGTCTGAATTGGGACCCTTTTCCTGTAACAAAAGGACATAAAATTTCATTTAGACAGAAGGAATAACTTCACAAGATTTATTGTAGAACATGGTGACTATAGTTAATAACAATATACTGTATTCTTGAAAATCACTAAGAGAGTAGATTTTAAGTGTTCTCATCACAAAAAAGCATGAAGTATGTGAAGTAATGCACATGTTAATTAGTTCCATTCAGCCAGTCTACATTGTGTAAATATTTCAAAACATCATGTTGAAAATAAATAAATAAAACAAAATGGGAGTCATGATAGGACCTAACCTTAGGGCCTTTATGAGGATTGAGAAGGATGACGGTGTAAAGCTTTTAGTACAGTATTTTTTTTTTTTGAATTTTTTTATTTTTCTAGACTCTGGCTTATTGTTGATTGAATAGTATTTATCCTTTTCTTTTTTTTAATCTCTCACCTCTAGAGATGGAGGAGAAATTGGTAAGGAGTACAAAAATTTAAACATTATTAAATTTAAATAATCCTTTTACCTTAATGAGACTAAAGGGAAAAGACAGACATAAGCCAATTATAGGGTCAAGTCATTTTAGTGGCCTGATTTATGGGGCACAGAGCTTCACGTGCCTACAATACCCTCAATTTTCTTAAATTGAGCATTTATTAATCTTTCAGATAGCACCTTTTGTCGAAACTTGGAGTTATGAATGGCCCTCACCATACTGATGCTTTCTTACTGAGCTCCTCTCTACCTTGAACAAAAGAGACCCTAATAGTTAGGCAGGAATATTACTGCCCCTATTCAGCCTGAAGAAGTTACGGAAGATAGATCTTCACCCCTCTGCAACCTTTAGGATTAAGGGTTCTCTTATAAAAGGGAGGGAGGAAATGTCAGAGGTGTTTGAATCAGAGCAACTCTATCTTGAATAGGGGCTGGGTAAAATAAAGCTGAGACCTACTGGGCTGCATCCCCAGACAGCTAAGGCATTCCAAGTCATGGGATAAGATAAGAGGTCGGCACAAGATACAGGTCATAAAGACCTTGCTGATAAAACAGGTTGCAGTAAAGAAGCCGGCCAAAACCCACCAAAACCCAGATGGTGATGAGAGTGATCTCTGGTTGTCCTCACTGTTATATTCCCACCAGTGCCATGCCAGTTTACAAATACCATAGAAACATCAGGAAGTTACGCAATATGGTCTAAAAAAGAGAGGCACAAATAACTATGCTAAGGAAAGGCATATTGATTCTGTGCTAAATATCCCTTGTTTAGCATAGAATCAAGAAATAACTCTCAAAATGGGCAACCAGCAACCCTCGGGGCTGCTCTGCCTAAGGAGTAGCCATTTTTAAATTTCTTTATTTTCCTAATAAACTTGCTTTCACTTTACTTTATAGACTTGACCCAAACTCTTTCTTGCATGAGATCCAAGAACCCTCTTGGGGTCTGGATCAGGACACCTTTCCAGTAACAAAAGGAAGCCTAACGTGACTAGCTCCATTTTGCTCCTAACCTCCCCATGCCCATAATGATATCTTTTGGATTAAGTACTTTTACTTATCTTTGTACATAGGCTGAGTTAACTATGGGGGAATTTAATTTATAGCTTAACTTTTTAAAGGGAAGGATGATAATAGTCCCTTCTCAAAACGAATCTTCAAGAAGATAAAGAGGTGTACACACAAGTAACAATGTTATGATAAAGATGCATAGGAGCATTGTGACCTGACCAAGGATAAAGAAGCTTCACAACCCCCCAACTCAGACCCTCATTGCGACCCAGGTGTCTATGATCATCAGTCACCTCTTGATCTCAACTGAAGGCCCTCTAATTCTCCTTTCCTCTAACATAAAAAAGCCTAAAATTCTATTAACTTAAGATGGTTCTTCAGGACACTAGTCTGCCACCTTCTTGGCTTGCTGGCTCTTTGAAATAAAGTAACTTTCCTTGCCCCAACACCATGTCTCTTGACCAATGGGCTTCATGCGGCAAGTGGCATGAGCTTTGGATTCAACTGCAAGAATCCATGCACCTCTTTGGATCTTGTATGTTGGAAACTTTGTGGTTAGTTATCTTTAACTCCTGGTCTATATCATATATTAATAGCATAGGCTGATTAAGAGCAGACCTGACAGCATGTCCTTGTTGACCCAGGAGGTTTTGTCATTCTTAAAACTACTGATTTTAGACCAAACTATATAGAAATTCATTCCAGATATATTTAACAGATAATACTAACAAAGTGAAAACAAATTAAGAGAGGTTATACTACCATGGAAAATCACAGTCAATTAAAAGTAAATACCTGAACTTATTTCCATATTTGAAGAGTTAAATTCCAAGATTCCAGTCCTCTTACTCCTGCTGTGCTGGGGCCACTACACCAGCCTTAAACTCATCAGTGAGGAAGGGAATGTGGTGAAGAATGAGTTTGGGTGGGGATGTGGGTGCATGATCTACTTGTCTGTGGTTCCTACAGGCAGTAGAGATGGGTGCATAATGATGAGTCAGTGATCATTCATTCAATAGGCATATACAAAAGGCACTGATGATATTAGACCAATAAGGCACAACCCTTGCTCTCAAATTCATAGTCTACTCCAAGACTCTGCTGTTCAAATGTAGTTCTTAGATGAGCAGCATGGACATCGATTGGAAGTTTTTTAGAAATGCACAATCTCAGGCCCCACCCCAGACCTACTGAATCAAAATCTACATTTTAGAAATAACTCCAGGTGATTCATATGCGTAGTAGAGTCTCAGACATACTGTTCCAGGACACATAAACAAGCACAGGTATTTCTGGTGTAACATCTTATATGCATTCCTACAAAACTCACATATTGCAAGACTGTGCACTAACATAACAGAGTCTATGGTGGAAATTGGTTAGGGGCAGACATCTGAAAACCTACAAAATTTTGAATGCAGAGCACTAACAAAAACAATCACAATTCTAATAAAAACAATAGTTAAATCTACTGGTATTTGTATTAGTATCAGTCAATTATTTGCTGTCTTCAACCTGGGGGATTCAGACTTCCTTCTTTGAGACATAATAACAGGCATTTGAACCAGAGAAACTCCATCTTGAGTAGGGACTGGGTAAAATGAAACTAAAACCCTATGGGGCTGCATTCCCAGGCTGTTAGGCATTCTAAGTCACAGGATGAGATAAGATATTAGCACAAAATACAGGTCATAAAGACCTTGCTGATAAAACAGGTTGCAGTAAAGAAGCCAGCCAAAACCCAACAAAACTAAGATGGCAATAACTGTGACCTCTGGTCGTCCTCACTGGTATGTTCCCATCAATGCCATGACAGTGTACAAATGCCATCACACTGTTAGGAAGTTACCCTATATAGTCTAAAAGGGGAGGCATGAATAATCCATCCCTTGTTTAGCATGTAATCAAGAAATAACCATAAAAATGGGCAACCAGCAGCCCTCAGGGCTGCTCTATCTAAGGAGTAGCCATTCTTTTATTCTTTTACTTTTTTAATTTGAGATGGAGTTTCACTCTTTTTGCCCAGGCCGGAGTGCAATAGCATGATCTCGGGTCACAGCAAAACTCCACCTCCCAAGTTCTAGTGATTCTCCTGCCTCCGCCTCCCGAATACCTGGGATTACAGGTATGTTCCACCACGTCTGGCTAATTTTGTATTTTTAGCAGAGACAGGGTTTCTCCATGTTGGTCAGGCTGGTCTCAAACGTCCGATCTCAGGTGATCCGCCCGCCTAGGCCTCCCAAAGTGCTGGGATTACAGGTGTGAGCCACCGCGCCCGGCCTTATTCCTTTACTTTCTTAATAAACTTGCTTTCATTTTATGCTATGAGCTTCCCTGAATTCTTTCTTGTGCAAGATCCAAGAACCCTCTCTTGGGGTCTAAATCAGGACCCTTTCCTGTAACAATAAGACCTAGATACTAGTATTTTATTTGTTAAAAGAAAATTTTTAGGGGGGAAACTTCAAGAGTTTAATTTTTTCCTAGAACAAGATCAACAGTTTTCACTGAGATAAAAGAATAAAGAACAACAAACTCAATAACACCAAATGGGTTTTTGATACAGAAAACAGGACTGCTCCATTCAAATGCAAATTTTTACATTAAAATATGTTTATAAACCAGAGTTGTTCTTCCTCCTGATTCAACACTTCTCCCTCCTCTAACGGGAGCCCCAGGAATCTGAAGAGCATGTGCACTACTAACCAAATATACAAACCAGCCGCCCCTTCCAAGCTGGAATCTGATTACCACTGGACTAGACTCAGGGCTGCCCCCAAGGGATGAAAAGCAATAACTATGGTCTCAGGGAGGATGGCTACTGAGAATCCCACCAAAGAGTCAAATGCTGTGCACTGGGTCCAGGATGACTGGCACACCCTGTTCACTGTGCAGTTTCCCACCACCATGAACAGGAGAACCTTGGAATAGCAGTCTTGATGATGCTGACTGCCCTTGCCCACACTGATAGTAAACAGGGTAAATATTATTCTCATGGCAATTGGAATAAAAATGAAATTGAAGATGGTGACCTGCAGTGGGCAGCAGTCCTGGTCTGGGTTGGTATGAACCTGTTCATGCTGAAAAGGAGGCTGCAATCCCCCATACACTTGCTCTGTAACCTAGGGGACTGCTTTTTGAACTTGAAGTTGAATTCTTACATTGATTCCTATCTGTTTCCAACTGGAAGTGATTTCTGGAATGGTTGAATTCTCAGAGACTCGAGCAGGAAATAGCTCATACATTTGCTGCAGAGATCAGATCACACAAGCTTGGAGACAGTGTAGCTTCTCCATCGACTCTGCTGGCAGGTGCAAAGGCAGGAAGCATACAGAGTGGAATGCCTTGAGTACAACCTGGTCCAGAAACCAGCTGTGCAAGTGACAGGAGCTCAGTGCAAAACAATACATTTATTTAACAATTCCCTTCTTTTGCTTGTGTTCTCTCCTAGGTCAGAGCATGACCAAAATCTAAGGCTTTAGAGCACCACTTTCAATTACTATCATTTGGGTTTCTTGTCTCAGCATGTCATTCATAGGTTATGGTATCCTCATGATCACGCATTTCTTTGAGTTTTGTCATTCTAGCCAAAGAGTAACAATCTGACATTCTACAAATGACTGCATGTTAACAAACATTTAAAACTTTTGAGAGAATACAGTGCACCAAGGAGACCACTGTCATCGGGAGGATAATACCAACAGTTTGCAGCATGCTCCTTAGCTAGGGTCTCCATGAGCTAAACAAGCAAAAATCAAATAGATCAAAGAATAAGCCAGATGAAGAGTGTACCTATTTTAATCCAGCAGCCTGTTCATTAATCCTCTGCAAATGAGTCTCTATAATACCCAGTATATTCATCCATGTGCAAAAAGTGTCAGCAACTGCACAATTTCTCCCTATTCAGCCAGTAGGGAATCTAGAGCAATTCTATTATCTAGTACAACTTTAGCAAGAGAATTTAAAGAAGTCTATTATGCAACCATAGCCTTTGCAATAGAATCTGCTATAGAGATGATTATAAGGAATTTCTTTCTTTCTTTCTTTCTTTCTTTCTTTCTTTCTTTCTTTCTTTCTTTCTTTCTTTCTTTCTTTCTTTCCTTCTTTCTTCTTTCTTTCAAGACAGGGTCTTGCTCAACCTCCCAGGCTCAAGCAATCCTCCCTACCTCAGTCTCCAAAGTGGCTGGGAGTACAGACATGCACCACCATGCCCAGCTAAGATTTTAAAATATTTTTGTAGAGACAGGGTCTCGATACATTGGTCTCGAACTCCTAGGCTCAAGTGATCCTCCCACCTCGGCCTCCCAAAGTGTTAGAATTACAGATGTGAGCCAACATGCTCAGTCAGGAATATATTTCAAATTATTGCCTCATTTACATTTACTCCAAGCCTTGGAAAATAAATCTAACATTGGCCCTTCATGCTCAATCCATCAAAGGCATAAGGTTGCCCATGTGTAAAGTTGGCTGCAAAATCCTCCACAACTAAAAGTATACTCCACAGATAGACACAAGGCCCCTTTTCCAGTTCTATTGTTCATGGATACATTACCTGGAATGGTGAAATTAGGAATTTCAAGCCAAGGGCCTGAGGCAGAATTATGGGTTGAAAGAGTGCTATAATATCCTGACACACAAGTCAGTTTGCAAGAAACTCCATTTGGGCTTTGGTGCAAACCTGTCTTGTGATATACTCATTGGTCATTGTTCTTGTATCCCATTACTGGATTAAATTAAAACAGGGAGTGAGAGGAAGTGGGTTTAGAAGTTTTACTACTAGTACAATTTGAACAACAGTTATGTTAGGAATGTTGCTAACATTATCCACCAGGTTAACTAAAGGATCCCTTAGGTCATGTAAAGATCTGGGTTTGGCATGACAGATTCAACACTCCATGAAGTTACCCATAAAAGCTACTCGTTGTGAAATTCTAATTACAGCACTATCCTGCAAAGTTCAAGAGGTGGCCATACGTAAGGAAAGATTAAGAAAAGTAAGAGTTTCGTGATGACAGAGAAAGTTTGATTTGTGATCCTGGGGAAGCTGCTTATGTCTAGGATACCATCTGCTTATGGGGAGAAACTTCCCTGGTTAGCTTTACCTTAAGGTTTCTAATGGGTATACAGTTCCAGGAGTCTGGAGGGGCCCTTTTTAAGTTGTGAGATATGGATTCAAGTATCAAAGTCCCAAAGTTTGGCTGCAGATTGAGTGGCAAAGGCAGTCTTTCTCTACTACCATTTCCAGAAAACCAAATCTCTGGACTCTAGATCATGAAGGATTTGATTGCTCTTGGCCAGTGCATTCTGAAAAGCTTCCTTTACCTGGTGAAAACACACTTTGACATAATGCATCAAAGGCTTGCATCATTTAGTCATATCCGAGTTTAGGACTCTTTTATAAGGGAGTCAACTTACATTCTCCACTGTAAGTGCATCTTACTTTTATTAATCTGCAATACCTTTTATCAATCTGCAATATCAAGGCAATCCAGTCAATTCATTGGCTTCACCTAAGGCTACTAAATCTGTAATACTTTAACTGTTTTACAACTTGTCCAGCGAAACAAGTACCTTTATCCCTAGAGATCTCTCCAAGAATCCCCCATGAGGAAAATACATTTTCTAATAACCTTTTAGCTACTGTTATAGAATTGACTTCCTGCATGGGAAAACTTCTAAACAACCAGAAAACAGGCACTGAAAATAGGCGCAGTGGCTCACGCCTGTAATCCCAGCACTTTGGGAGGCCGCGGTGGGCAGATCACTTGAGAACAGGTGTTCAAGACCAACCTGGCCAACATCACAAAATCCTGTCTCTACTAAAAATGTCAACATTATCCAGGTGTGGTGGTACACGCCTATAGTTCCAGCTACCCAGAAGGCTGAGGCATAAAATCATTTGAACCCGGAAGGCAGAGGTTGCAGTAAGCC